GGATATCGTTTGAACCCCGAACGGATCTCGCCTAGTATGCGATTTCCGGGTTCAACACGTTTGAACCATTGGATCGTAGTTAATTCCAAGTATGCTAATCTAGGTATTTTCAGGATCGTATAGTATTTGACGGATCGTAAAACGGAGTCCCGGTTACTCCAGAAATGTCAGCCCTAGAGTAGGTTTTACGGATAAGTAAACCATTTACAAAATAACGAACTAGTTGCAGGTCAAGAACAGAGGAGAGAACTACGTGTGGCTTGATCCCTCAGTAAGGGTACGTAGGCAGCCTACAGTTACCAGGCGCAGCCACGAGTTAGGGCCCCAGAGTTTGTGTTAGCGTTTTCAGGTCATTTTTTTTGGTCATTTATGACCCACAGTCACCAGGTGTCAGTTTTAAACAGGTTTCGACCCGGATTCCAAAGTGAAAATTGGGTCAAGTCGTTTCAACCAAAGTCCAAGCCCATTACTTAGAGTTCTCCAATGTGGGTGAGCAAATGAGATATTTTTCAAGCACCTCTTTTTACCCATAAGAAATAGTCATTTTCCAAATGTCTAACTTTACCCGTTGGAAACAAGCATTTTCTAGCACTTCCTATTACCCACTGGAAGCAAGCAGTCTCCAGCGCTTCCTTTTATCCATAGGAAATAATCAGTTTATGGTACCTAGCGTCACCTGCTGGAAAATAGCATGCCCCAGTGCTTCCTTTTAACCACTGGAAATAGGCTGGTTCCAGCACCTCCCTTTACCTATTGGAAATAAAGGAAAACTCACACCCTCTATAAATTGGCATTTATGGCTCAAGCAAAGGGCACCAATTTTTCTTCAGCCAACACTCCCTCACTCGGCTGCTGCAAGCATCCCAGCAGCCATCAACCTCATTCAGCAACCACCAGACCACTTTCCTTCCTCCATTCAGCTCCTGCAAGCATTCCAGCAGCCATCCCAGCCATTCCTTAGCTATCACAACCATTTCTTCTATTTTCCTATCATTGAAATCCTCCATTTTCCCTATAAAGCCTCACAAACCATAACTCCAAGCTTTTCCTTCCTTCTCATACCCTTCCAGGCTATAAACACTATAGCTTTCAAGCCTCAAGCTTTTCCTTTTATCCTCCCATCTCTAGAACTCATAAATTTCTCTAGAATCATTGTCACAAACACCATACCCTTCAAAGTCTTAAGCCTTTCTTTCCTTAGCCATGCTCTTTGAAACCCTATTCATTTGACTACTATAAGCATCACAACAACCATCATAGCCAAACAATCAAACCACCACAGCCATAGCTTCAAACAATAAATTCTCTACACCCAAACTCAAGCATATCAAACACCAATCCAAGCACAAGCATTCTCATTTGCTAAACTTGTGGGTCTTTAGCTCCTGTTCACCTATTTTATATTTGTTCCTGTGATGGTAGGGTAAAGTTCCTTATTGCCTTGAGAACCATTGATTTGTCAACAAGTCAACTTTCTTTGGTGAGCGAGCGTGCCACTGCTAGCGATGAAGAATCCTATTAGGCTTCTTAAAAATATATAACTTGCGCCCCAAGTTACTGATTTCTAAACAAGCTATTGTGAATTTGGGTGAGGAATATCTCCCAAGTAAATTCTTTTCATGTCTCAGACTGGTGAGAACTTCACAATTTTTCACAGTACGAGATTGGTAGTTCTGGCCAGAATAAATGGTAAGAAAGTGAACTGTTTTCAGGCGGAACTGCCTTTTATAAAACTCAAAAAGGAAAAACCAACTCTAGAAAGACAAAAATAAGGCTGAACTTCCATTTCTGCCTAGATAGATGCTTTTGATCCGGGTTAGACTGGGTATGCCTGTGCTGGACTGGACTGTCAACAACTTCAATTGCTAAGTTTCAACTATAAATCGATACCAACGTTCGAGTTTGGCAGAGCTTTAATCTATTTCAAGCACTGAAAGGCTTTTTGAAGGGGTAGAATTGCGGCCTCTTCAGTCTGAAAGGGGCAGAAGTGACTGGACTTGAGGATTACTGAGCTGGAACTGCACTGTGGTACCTGTTCTGTTTGATCAGGGCTCTCCATAAATTTGTTGAGGTTTTCATATTTGTAAAAACTCGAACTCTACTTGATTTGGCTTTTGTTGAACCAAATTTGTAACGAGAGAAATCTCGTTTTGAATTACTTATTTCTCTAAGTCTGAACTAACACTGGAGGTTTTGATTTGTAGCTGTTTTTGTTCTTGTGGCTCAATAAGCTTTTGGTTACTTCAATTTGTTTGAAGGCTTTTGAGATCAAGTGATCATTTTGAGTTTTGTCTTTGATTGATTTTTTTATTTTTTTGTTGTCCTTTGCTCTATTCACCCTCTCTCATATTTATAAGAAATGCTTGGAGTGGGGCTTTTAATCTTTTAATAATGGGCGGCATTATTTTCAAAAAGATCTTTTATTTTAAATGCAAAGAAAAAGGGAAGTTATCTGTTCTGGCAGGTAAACCGTCAATAGTCAGTTCTAAGGCAATCACTTCCCTGTTTTTCTTGAAAGAAAACCTAACCCTTCTTCAAATTTAACTGCTCTTTGTAAGAGTCTCTCTGCGCACCCCGAGCCCCCCCGATACTTCTCTCCAGCAGGTGGCTTCTCCAAGCCACCGCCGCCGCCTCCGGCCACCACAGGTCACGAGACCCGTGATGGTTAGTTTGATCTTCCAGATGAACAACTCCCTGCTTCCTACTTATCTCTTTAGAAAATATAACATGCTTATCCCTTGGAAATGGTACCTGCTTTGGAGCAGAATTTTTCTGAATATTGAAAAGGGATTTTGATCTTCTTTTAACTGAAAAGGCTGGAGACTTTTGCCTGTTTGAAGACATGTTTACATTAATTCCCATCGACTCAGTTGAGATTGCTGACTTTTCAAAGTTTTAGGTAGTCACGTGGGTTTGCATCTTTTTGGGCTTTTCCTTCTTATTTAATCATCCCAAGCCCAGTTTTGATTTTTTTGGGATTGTGGGCTGAGCAATTCGCATGTACTGGGCTTCCTTCCAATTTTTGGGTTTTGGTAAAAGATCTGACTTGGGCATGTGCTTTTGACTTTGGGCCCTTGATTCCATTTCTAGTCCAAACTGCCTAGGTCCTGTTTTTCCCTCATCCTTCTAGGCCTCTAGCGTTGGGCTAGGCACATAATTTGTTGGCCCAAACAGCTCCCACACTCCAAGCTCTCATGCCAAGCTCATATAATCTCATATCAACGTCAACAAGTCATCTTTAACTCATCCAGAGCAAGCAACATCCTTACTCATTGCTGGAAGCTTCAATCTCAAGACATGTTCTTCCATATTCTTCATCTCCCTCCCATAAACACATCTAGAGAGAGCAAGCATCACCACTCACCTCTGGAACCCTTCAATTTCAAGCTCTGTTATTCCATTTCTTCCTTTTTTCCTCTTCTGGCAAGCCACCCAATAGCCTGACAAAGCTTTCTTCAAGCTGCTGGAAATCTACTCAAGCCACCCATCTTTTCTCTCTCTTCTCTCTCAAAAAAGTTCCATCTCATATCTGAAACACCTAACCTCTCATGCCAAGTCTAGTAGTATCTTAATTCACAAAGCAAACTCTCATACCAAAGTACTCCCCTAGGACTTGCTTTTTTCTCAGGATACTTTGGGCCTAGTTCTCACTAACTCAAAAAAAGGGGCAACGAAGACTTGATTCACCACTCTATAGCGGTCCAAGAATCAACAAGCCCGGATGAGCCTTCCAACGAAAAAAGACCCCAACAATTATCAAATTACTCACAAATCAATCAGTTGCAATAAGGATGAGAAGAAGACAACAAATAGAAACAACCAAACACATTTCATCAAAGCAGAAGGAAAATGAAAAGTGAAGACTCATTCCACCTTTATCCGACGTCCCCGAAGGAATGAGAAACGTTGGAAGCTAACTCTATATAAAGGGTTCCAAAATAATGTTAATCTTCGATGTGGGACAGCTAATAGTTTCGGCCACCGCTATTTCTAAAACGATGCGCAAAGTACATTGTCAAATGTGCAACTTAGAGTTAGAGGTTTTTTTTTTTTTTTTTTTTAATGAAATAGGGGGGATAAACCCCAAAAAGAAACAACAACTAACTAGTACAGATCAAGCGAGGCCTAACAACTCCTAAAAAATCATCCTCCAAAAAAGAGCTAACCCAAGCAAAGGCCTCATCCAAATAGCTAACCCCAAAATCCAAGTTAAAGCTCCAGTTAGCCATACGATCAGTTAGAGGTATTTTTAACCATTTTTAAATGTTTTCTTCTTTTTTTAATCACATATTTTGTACTCTTTTCTCTCATGGAAATTGTGATATGTTGTTTTCGAAATTTTGATCATTTTTCCGTTTTCAAGTTTCTCTTTAGATTTCATGAGGTCTCTCTTTACTTTCCTTTTTATTTCCATTGAAATTCTATGAAATAATAATATTTGCACAGGGCATTTCTTCTTTTCTTACATAATTCGTTACGTTTTCTTGGCTTTATCTTATATAATAATTATTTTTTTCTTTCTAAAAACACTTCTTTGTTGCTTCTTTAAGACTGGTTTGGGAGATTTGTTGATTGATGACATTGTAGAGGTTTTTTAGGCCTGAAACATTTGTTTCTCAAACATTTAATTAATGTGAACAAATCAAGCCAAGTACATTACAACAAAAGGTAAAAGAAAGACAGAAGAATGCATCAGGCTTCCATGCCAACTTTGTTCCTGTGCTCTGCCGGCTTGAACTTATTTGGAATGCACAAGTCCAAATAATTTTCAGCTGTTCCCATTCTGCTATTAAGGTTTTATCAAAGAAGAAAAAAGATCCCAAATGGCAGGTAAAATCGACACCGTTTTGTCGTGGATAGTAGTGAAGGGGCAGAACAAAATAGAGCTATGCTATTCCATAATATTGCTATTTTATTATTGAATCAAAACAAAGAAAGGTTGTCAGTCTGAAATGCAATGAAAATTTTTGCACGAGTGCAAGGATTGTATTCAATTTACGATTGAAACATCTCATAAAGAGACACTAACAGAGGCATATACAAGAACAAAAAACATATGTCCAGCTAAGCAGCAGATCTACCAAAGAAGCAAGTATCCAAACCGATCCCACAAGCTACTTCATCTTTCTAAGCGTGTTCACGTAGGTGTAACTGGAAAATCCTACAAACAGTTTGCGGAACCTGCAGATATAAAACGCAAATCTATTCATTTGACTATCTTATTACTTGGATTGCATTTGGTTGATGAAAGCTGAAGAAGATTCACAAGTAAAATAAAGGAAGAAAATAGGAAAACGTAGGTTGAGATGTCACAGCAAAAATGGTTCACAACTATTTTCAATCGATAAAAAGTAGAAAGCATACCAAACCCATTGGCTTGAATGTTGTGCCATCGCCCGGAAGCTCTTTCTAGGCTGCTCATTCAACAAGCAATGCAGCACTTCATGTGAGCATTGCATGGGATATAAACTGGACAGCCATATATCCACTGGACCGCTATACTTGCGGAACATGTTAGTACTAACCTGAGAAAAATAAATAGGGCAGCAAAAGAAAAGTTAAAATCACTGGTTTAACAGCAAATATGCTTGATAGGTGCTACTGTATTAACTAGCATTAGAGTAAAGGATGCAATATGTAAAGTTATCATCCCATCCAATAAAACATATAACCAAAACTAGACATTATTGTATAAAAACTTAGGTGACATATGAGAACAAATCAGAATTTCAAGACACTTGCTGATTATAGACAGTATAAAGAACTTGTCAATCATTAGAATTGGGCAGAATCAAATTGATGCCATAGATTTCAAATGAAAGAAATAAGAAATCTAATGAAGAGAGAACATACAAGTTCCCAAGCTTCAATTTTCCTTTGTGATGATGCATGTAAGAGCTTCCTGCTTACAGTACAACACAAGTAAACATTAAATATAAATAGACTTTGCCAAACTTTAGCGTGCCAATGCCATAGTAAACAGATAAAACCACAAATTGGCCATCCTGAAAATGTACATGCACCAAAATGGGAAAGACAATAGGTACTTTCAAATTCATTCAAGGCAGGCAGATCAGTATCTTATTCTATGCAGTCACAGTAGTGTGCGAATTTGCAGGATAAGTCTCATCACTGGACTACTCTCTTAAATGTTGCACAACAGACCTAGGTGGAAAACCTTTTTTATTGAGAAACTTCAGTTTGGGCTTATTGTATATGCACCAAACCAGGCTAAATAATATCTCACAGCCAAAAGAAGAGGCTTAATCCTTTCAATTAATTACCTTTGGAAATACAAAAAACAGAAAATATGATTAAAATTCAGTGTGAGTTTAAGATGCTTCAACTAGTTCTCATATTCTATGTATACATAATTACTAGATAACCTGATCGTTTCCTCCTTTTATTCTTTTTTTTGCAACCTTAACAGCTAGCATTAAACCAAATAAGTCCAATATATTGGTAGTAAATAAAGGTCAACAGTAATATGAAAACATAATAGCCAACTGAATATCATAGATAAACCTCCAAATCTTAATTAAACCAAGTTAATAAAATATGGAAAATTTACTCATAGTTTCTACCAACCAAATAATGGTACCATGTTTAAAAGAATCAAAACAGCTACTTCCAACTCTCCTACTTTCTTTCTAGGCATGTAAGAAGTCAAAATTAACTGGCAAATATCTAAGGTTTAAAAGATAAAGGGTAGAAAAACTGACCGGCAAGAGAATATATTCATGTGACATGAAGAGTCGTCAAAAGTATTATTATATTTTATTTTATTTTGTAACATTTATTTCCATGCCATAAATATCTAACATATGTAGGCATTTATATAACAGGAATTTCCTTCCAATTTTAAAAATATTGATAAAATGTGATTGAAAAATGGAGCTCAACTTACATTACCCCATAATGCACGTCACGGTGGTTACAATGGCCCGAAACTCCATAATTGTCAAAAGTAATTATCTGATAAAGCCCATGTGAAATTGATGTTAGAAGTGGGAGATAAGATTGAACCATAAGAGCAGGCATTACTTTATACAAAACCAGTAATCCATCAAATGATGCTTATCACATCACCACAAAAAAGACAACACAAGTAGTAATAAATTTCAGTAGTCCAGAAACTACAATAGCAGGTGAAGGTATAAAGCAAACTATTAGGTCTGAAGGATTATCTTACCAAATCAATACCATAACTGTTAATTTCCTCTTCAATAATCATTGCCAATATGTTATGGTTCCAAACTTTTCCAAAACCATCCTAAAGATTGAGGAATGTGTTATAAATGCCTCAAGATACTATCAGGAATGATACTAATTCAATAGTTGAGTAGAACCTGGAGATCTGGATGGTCCAGAACCTTCACTTGTTGATGTGGAACCTGCACATCCAATTTCACATGCTATGAAGTCTAAATGAATGTTCTGGTGAAAATACATCACAATGTGTCATAGATAACAAAAGAACATAAGTTCTGCAAGCAACAACACTTAATAGGATTTTCAGAATTGGATAAAATAAAGTTAACAACACTAAAATCACTTTAGTACTGGACCCCCACGCATGTGTAGATGCTTAAATTTTGGGTCACAACATTAAACAAAGTGAATTTTAAAGCCTCAACTCTTTTGTTCCAGATTGCATATCACCTTGAGGATTGCAGAAGCCTGGTAGAGCTCTTCTTTTCTGGTAATTCCTTTACCATCTGCATCACCTGCACAACAGACAAAACTGAATTCATTAAAAAAAATACTAGGAAGTTATAAGGGCAAGGATTAACAATTTACGAGACATAATTCAATCTGTAACACCAACACTACTCTTAAGGAAGTTATATTGTATAAGTTACAATAAGTAGTGTAAAGGCTGAAACTACTGTGACACAGTTGGATGTGAAACCAACAGAAAGATCTGGAGGGAAATTCTTATCCCATCCCAAGCATGGGCATGCCGTTATTCTAGATACATTAATGGATGGAGAAACAACCCTTGTATAAATTGGTACTCGACTGCATTCTAAGTGTAAGGGTGACCATAAGTCTATAATACACATACTTATTATATGTTCACTTAGTTTATTAGTAACCTTTATTAAAAAATTTATACATCCATTTTTAGGTAAACACAACCCATGTATCAGTTATTAATATCATTTTTTTTTTTTTTTTCATCAGGCTTCATTATCCCTAAAACATTTCAAAGCAGTTAACAAAAAAATTGTTAAAATAAGACAATTGTCAAAACCAATTTAATGGAGTCAAATAGTTTTCATAATAAATGAGGACCTCAGCCTTACTGTATATATCTACAAGTTTGTCTGTTGTCATATATCTAAAAGACCTCTATTTATAGTTTAGTGTTGTGCTTACGTAAAATGATCCATCCTACTTCAAGGGAATGTTAAGAGAAACAGTCTGCCCACCACATTCCAAATTTGTGAACAAGTTTATGGTATAAGCTACATGGAGATTAATAAACGAAAAAAGGGAAAAGATTAACAAACCAGTACATACCAATTTAAAAAAGGCAGAGACAAAGTTGTATATAGATGAGAGTGTGTTACCAATTGACAAGCAAAGAATGTGAATATTATGCCCTCTCATGGTGAGATAGTTTATGGTTGGAGTAAAGAACCTGCAGAAATGCAATGGACGGTTTGAACACAACATAAATACAGAACCTCGATGTATCATATTATACAATTTGGCCAAAAAGAAACAGACCTCGTCATCAAACATAAAACTCAACAGTCACACAGGGGGACAACAATTCAAACAAATGAAAGTATGCCATGAGACAATCAGTAAGTAGTTCTAGATTCCAACACCCACATTTCCTTTTTGGGCCACTTAGTCTTGTTAATTATCATGGAACAATATTGAAGTAAATTCAAACATCAACATAGAAGGGCTCAGAGGGGAGCTGATATTTATGCGACCAGGATAAATTCTGCCTCATACCCATCCAACATTTGAGAAGCACCAACGCAAACTAACAGCTCAAAAACTCGTCTGAAATCGGCTACAACTGAAGCCATTATTAGAGCCAAAGAAATGATAATCAATTTTTTACAGTTATGCTTACATGGACTCATCATCTGGGTGGGCAATAACCAGCAAAACATTTCTCTTGTTGACACTGCCACCTGATTCAATAAATACAGTGTATTTAACCAGTATGCACAAAAAGAAGGCGGCAAAATAAGCAAGCTAGGGCAGAGTGGCAGACTACCCACCATTTTTCAAATTATTCAAGAAAGTACCCTTCGGAGGTGAATATGAGCCATGCAGAATTTTGCATAAAGAAGCTACCCATAGTACAATCACAGAAGAAATAATCAAGAACCATGCCATATGGCATGCACCTGCAGACAATGATAAATTGATAATCAATTCATCAAGTCAAACAACCTCCAAACTCAAGAATGGAACAAACCCAGTAAACCAAAAGGAAAAGAAAAGAAAAACTTGGACACAATTCATTGTTCCTGCAACATATTTGGTAGACACTCACAATGCTAAAAGCTGCGTCATATACTTTTTAAGTAAAAATTAAACATTCACTTACAACTTTTCCTATTCAAAAACTTTGTATTCTTACGTTTTGAACAATCTGATTTTTTTTTTTTTAACTGTATCTGAACATTGTTTCCGAAGTTTAAAAGACTATGAAAGCATATTTGGTTTGCATTGAATCTCACTCAAACCTTTCATCAAACATCATCTAGGCAAAACTTTTGCCCAAACCACTGACTGCTCCTCAACAGTTGAATGCGAATAAAAGAAAACGATAAAGAAGGAGACAAGAAACGGAGGAGTTAAGTGGAGAAGCCCTTACCTGGATTAGTAATCTCTTCCTGTTTTGCCGGAAAAAAATTCCCAGAAAGTTTTAAGCTTGACGACTCTTCTTAACATGAAAAAAAGAAGCCAATATATATAATAGACTTGGCAAAGAAAAATAAAAACAAAAAACCAGACACCACGTGTCGAAAACCCACATGCCCGGAGCATCATCGTCTCCTCAGACCCTTCTGCCTTGACAGTAACAGACAAAACACCAAAAACCCTAAACAGTCAACCATTCCCTACAGGCAAGACCACAGAATTAAACCATGGACCAACAACATCAACTGCTCCTTGCTCAACAACAACAGCTGCTTTATCAACAGTTCCAAGCTCTTCAACAACAAGAAGGTTCTATTGCATACCAATCAAGCCAATCTTTCTGCTTTCGTTTTCAACACCCACAACAACAACAATACCACCACCAGCAACAAGGTTATTACCAATCGAACTATACCAATGTCTACCAGCAGCAGCTGCTGCTGCTGCAGCAACAACAACCTTATCCACCACAACCTGTCCAACTTTCTCAATCACGACTAGTCCAGCCACTTGGGATTCCGGTACTTCCGGGGCTGGACCCCACCGCGGCTGTGCTGTCTCGACTGGCGCAATTTTCAGGGTCCAGAGTGGGAGCAGTGGCAGAGAGGCCTTTGTATCAACCGGTACAATGTTTTGCTTTTGATTGATTGGACTGGTGGCTTTGTCATCGAATTGCTTTTGATTGTTTGTTTTATGCATATGCTTGACAAAAATGAGTTGGGTTTTTTCTGCTTCACTTATCTGATCCATTTTTGTATTTGGAACCCCATTATATACATAAACATATATATACATATATAAGGTACAAACCAGGAAGGACAATCCTTTGCATGAAATGGTTGGTTCTTCTGTCCTTCTATTTCTCTGGTGGTTTAAACCAGGAAGGACAAAGATTTTGTGATCATGGAGACTTGGAAATAAGTAGCAAGGGAAGGATATCTTTTGGACTTTCTGGTTAAGTAAAATACCCTTTTCTTATAGGTTCAAATTTTACATATTCAATATTAAAGAAACTCCTATCATTACTTGAGGAAAGGGAGTTGTAATTTTCAGGACATCATTACATTAACAACATGTTCTGGAATCAAACACTAGGGGTTATCCTTTTCAAAATTTTGAGATGTGTTTTCAATATTTTTGTTGTGTTTGGTTTGGGAGCTCGGATGATAAGACACTAATGAACTATGTGACGCAAGATGACCATAATGTAGTTGCTTCTGCAAACTCAATGATGTATTATTTACTCCTATCACCATCCTCTTCCAAATCTCTTTCGAGTTCTATGGTTGAAACAATTAAATACTTGTAAGTCTTGTAGAGAATCTTTATAAACTGAAAATAGGTGCAGATACATGAACCAAAGGAGGATTTGTTTGATGTTTGGGTGATTTGAACACTTCTTTTCTTGCTCAAATATGCAAAATTAAGCCACTGGAGATGGTGCAGGTGCTACCCCTATTAATTTAAATGACCTGCAACTTTGTATGCAGAGTGAAGAATTTCGCCACTCAATTCACATAATGATATGTAGGAAACTTTTGTGCAAAGAGAACATGGCAGATTTGTTGGTTTGTTTTAGACTATATGTTCGATTGGCTTCCTGAATTTTGTTTGTCTGGTTCCTGTTGATTAAGTTTTTTAAGTTCATCTAGATGTTTTGTAAAATTCTCTGGTGGGTATCTAGATGTTTTGTAAAATTCTCTGGTGGGTATCTACTACTCAATGTTGCCAAATTATCCTTTTTGTCTCACTGTACTTTTTCTGAAATCCCTTATGTTGGTTTTGGGTATATGTATTATGAGCAGAAGGTAGAAGCAAATTTATGGTTTTGATGTCATCTGACTTCTTTTGAAGTTGAGGCTGTTTTTGCTATGTATCTTGCTCTTTTCTGAAGGGTTTGGAGCGATGTATTGGCTAATGTATTTGGTGCTCTAAGTCACAAAAGTTCCTTTCTGATTGCAAACCCTGTGGGTCAGTTTGAAATATTGATATTCTAAGTTACATAGGGTTTTTTAAGATTGCAAACATCATTGCTCTTTTTCATTTGGCTTGTATCCAGCTTTCTACCTTCTTATTCTTTCAAGATTTAATTTTTCAGGTTGGTCAGCCTCCATACAGTAGTGGTGGTGAAAGGGGTGGTGAGCCATTGAAGGGACACCAAGGAAATTTTGGCTACAACCACCTGAGACCCGGTGGAGCTGGCCCATCTTTCATTGGAAGACCACATGGTTGTGGTAGTGGTGGCCCTAAGCATTTCTCACAACATGGTTTCCCTTCAACATCTTCGCATCCAGAATCTTCAGTTGCTCCAGCAACACTTCCACCTGAGAAATCAGAATCAGCGTCAGCACTTAAAACAGAAGTTCCAAACAAAACTAAAGTTCGGAACAACCAAAGTTCCCAGGTTGCTTGGTGTGAAATTTGTAAGGCCGCGTGCAATAGTTTGGAAATTCTTGAGAATCACAAGAATGGAAAGCGACATAAGAAGAACATGAAGAAGATGGAAAAGATGGAAAAGATGAAAAATGCTATCAGATCAGGGAATGAATTACGGGGCCAACAGAATCGCACATCTAATTCAAATCTGGAAGTGTCTCATTTGACTCAGTGTGCACAGGATGGTGAACAGAACAAACCAACAGAAAATTTACCCACTGAAGCCGTTATCCATGTAAATTCTGCGGAAACTGAACAGCAAAATAATATCCCGGGGCAGCAGCATGGTCCAAAGCGCAAGAAGAAGCACAAGATTACTTCTGAAACTGAAACTAAGAAGATTGTTATTCCGCTAATCTGTGATATGTGCAATGTCAAGTGTGATAGGCAGGGGATTTTTTACCACCATCTTTCTGGAAAGAAGCATGTTGCTAACTTCAAACGATTTAAAAGTAGCCAAGCTATATGTGGGCCAGTCGGGCTTCAAGCTCTTTACCCCCCTAACCCAACTGCTCAGACTATTTTCCATCCCCAAGAAGGGAAATACATGCCTCCCCATGTGTACCAAGAACTACCGGTGGAAACAAGTTCAACTCCCTAATTTCAAGAAAATTCTGCAATCGGAGGGTCAGAAGCCTTGCCTGAATTGTGGAAACAATAATACTGTTACAATGGCTATGGAAACCACAGAGAAGTCTGTCACAGAAGAACCGAACATCAAGCAAGCAGCTACTGTCGAGGCTAATTGTGTGACTGGTGTTTCAGAGACTAAAGATCAGGGGCCAAATCCTCTATCACATGACAATTTTAGAAGCTGACTCTAGTCCAACTTTGTAAACGAATGAAGCAATATAGCCTAAATAGCAGTACTACTTGCCATGTACGTGGAATTTCTTTTGAATTTTACCCCATTGAAAATTTTCTCCCATGGAAGTTAAGTTTAGCTTAAATCTAAATGTCTATCAGCATTCTTTGCTTTTCAGTAAGCAGCTCAGCAGTCTCCAGTTAGGAAGTTTAGTTTTTTAAACTGGCTGGAAAGCCAGAGGCATTGTTTGTATAAAAGAAGGAACCATCTGTAATGAATACAGTCATTGAGGAAATGAAATTTACAATGAGATTTTCTTTGAAAGTATTTGCTGGTACATCTATTCTAAGCCCTACCTAGGTGAGCAGATAAGAGGTTATAGTTTCTCTATTACCCTTAAATTTTGAATCTTAAAACTAAATAATTTTACTTTATAGGGAATTAGTTGATATTGGACTCAACAAACAATGCTGGCTCTAAGATACTAGCGCTCTCAGATGTGAATTATACAACAACAAAATCCAAACCACTATACATACATATAAGGGAAATAATTGGCTTGTTACATGAAAGGAATCAGTCATCTATACCTCCAAATTAGAATTTGACAAATGAATGAAAGCTTTACTTTTTGTGTTTTCAATAAGTTACTTTTATATACGTGTCAAACTATAACTCACAGGTAAGAAAGAATGTGACTCATCTAGGTGAATAGTCAAGAATATATATGTGTGTGTGTGTGTGCGCGCGCGCGTGTGTGGCTAACTCGGATTCAAGTGATTTTTTGTAGAGATTATCTTTGAATGAATATCTATCAAATAGAAGGTTCGAATTAAAAAAATAACATATGGGGTGTGCCCTATAAGGATGTCCCTTAAATAATGTTTGGGTCAAATATGATATATATCATTGGTAGTATTGTACATTAAACATTTTATCAATATTTCTTGTGCATTCAATTGAGTAAGGTTATAGAGCTCAAGCAGTTGGTGTCACATCCCGAAATCGGTTCCGCCGTAGCACGATATTGTCCTCTTTGGGCCCCCCTCTCTGTCCTCATGGTTTTGTTTTTGGGAACTCACGAGCAACTTCCTAGTGAGTCACCCATCCTGGAATTGCTCTAACCCCAACTCACTTAACTTCGAAGTTCCCATGACTCCGAAGCTAGTGAGCTCTCAAAAGGCCTCGTGCTAGATGGAGGCGGACATGTACATATAAGGCACATCACCCCCTCTCCGTTGGTCGATGTGGGATGTTACAGTTGGGCCCTTGTTATCCCACTTTCTTCTCTCACACGCACATAGGGAGTGCAATTTATCTACTAAAATTGGGTGTGCAAGCCAACGAGTCTAGTCTAGTGTTGCATATCAGAGATCTCAAGTTTGAATCCCACGGCATCATAATTGTCTGTGAGAGAAATACCCATCTTCCGTAACTTTAGACTATGACTTGTACTAAAAATAATAATAATAATAATAAAGATAGGTGTGCAATTTATCTAGTAAAAAAAGAGAGAAAGAATTGGCAAAAAAGAGAAGAAAGAAAAATATCTTTAGAGTTGAAAGCTCAAGACCTTGGGCCCAAATCCAGTCCATATAGATTGACCGCCCCATTCGTCATTTTTGCAGCTTTGCTTTTTCTCAATCCCTGCATCAATTCCGTACTTCTTCCATAATTCCTTTCCAATCCCCACCCAGACGCTAAGCAGTTGAGACTTTACACAGAGTTGAGAGAGAGAGAGAGAGAGCTTCAAGTTTCATCCATGGCTGACCACTCTGATGATTTAGACGAACTCCTCGATAGTACGTATTAGATACAAGAAGCTTTGCTTTCTCTCCCTCTCTCTTTCTCTCTCTCTAAATTTTGTAATTTTGTCTTTGAATTGATTTTCAGGTGCCTTAGATGACTTCCAGAATCTCAACCTCAACAAACCCTCCCTTCAGAGGTTTCTCTCCCTCTCTCTCTCTCTCTCTCTCTCTCAAAAGCGTCAAGCTTTACTTTGTAAATTCTCATGCGGGTGTTTGTTTCTTCAAAATTCTGAGTTTGTATTTGTGTTCAAAACGTTATTTTCTTCGTTCCGAAAGTAGTTTGTAATTCTTCAAAATTGTTTGTCTAGAATTGTTTATGAAAGTAACCAAGGACAATTTTTCATTCAACATTTGGTTTTCAATATAGAAAGGAAAGGAATCACATCATGGGTGTTTGTATCTTGCTTTTGCCCAAGTTGCTCAACAGCATTTTCAACTGAATGAAATTATTGTTATAAGTATAACCCATGAAGAAAATGGTGAAATAAAGCGTTAGGCGTGTATAATGAATTATGTATTTGTAGTAAATATCAGTATGCTTAATGGAACTATGTGAAACTTCTGCGCCAAGTTGAGTATTTACATTCTTTTTCTTGTCATAGAAGTAAAGAATCTACAGAGAACAAGCAAGAACCACCTTCCTTGCCTGCTGGGGTTCAAGGACTTGGCATGGGATTACCTGAAATAAGAACAAAGAAAAAGGGAAAACAAAAGGTTTCAGAGGAATCCCATGTTACTGAGGCTCTTGATAAGCTCAGAGAGCAGACTAGAGAGGCTGTTAAGGGACTGGAATCTGTGACAAGTACGAAACCTGGCGGAGAGGATTTGGGTAAGGATGTGGAAGATTGGGTCAAGCAGTTCGAGGAACTTGCTGGGTCTCAGGTAATTTTCTTTTCATTTACTTTTTTCTTTGAATTTCTTTTTTTTGTTTTTTTTTTTTTTTGGGATTTGATCAATGTCAAGCTTTTCTTCTAGTTGTTTGGTTGAGTTTTATGCAATTTGAGCTGTTATTAGTTAGTGAATTGTAATCGACACAATTTTATAGTTGTGAATTCGATACATGGGTATTTAGATTAAGGTTGGTGTTTGATAGAATTTAGAACATGGAACTTATCCTCCTCTGTACCTGAAATTTGTTTTACTAACTGAAATTTTCATTGCAATGCTTGTGTCTAATATGATCCCTGTGTTCTGATTTCAAGTATATTGCTATTGAGAATAACTATCTATTGCTTGCTGAGTATCACTCGTTCTGACAATATTGTTTACTAAGAATTGGAATTCTGGGTTGATATAGGCTAATGGTAAATCATATTGGATCAATTTTCTGACAAAGCACATGCTAAAACTTTAGCTTTATGTTTGATACGGTAATAGCAATCATATTGATGCTCATAGTTTTAATGATAAACTAAATCCTAAGCTTTTTGGTTGTGACCTGGACCCATAGTTTGAGCGGTATCAAATATCTAAGAGTCAAAAAGTTGGATTTTCCAAGACGAAGTTGGTGTGCCAAACTAAACTCTTTGGGAGTATAACCTTGAAAAACAAATTGATATAGCACAGAACCAATCTCCATTGAAGTGAGTTGAAAGAAAGGTTGAAATAGAAATGTAATGTTAACCATTTTCCGAGTGCTTTTGGACTACTGCTAGTCTCTTTGTAAGGGAATATGTTGGTCGTTGAATACATTGATAAGTTCGAGGAATTCATGTTCAGATTAAGTGAAACCAAGGACCCACTGATAACCCTTTTTTTTTTTAAATCTCTTTTATGTGTCCATCACCTTCAATAGTCCCCATGTTTCAAGGACCCACTGATAACCCCTGCCTAGAGCAACAACACATATTACCTTTGAACATGGGGACTATGAGCTAAATATTGTACCTACTAAATTTTCTCTGTCCATAAAACTCAAGAAAACAGCTAGCACTTTCCTAAAACGCATTGAAGGTGATGAATCCCTTCTTAGTCTAGCTCCTAACTTGATCGGGTCAAGCTCCTTTCAGAGGGAGAAGAATGATCAATTCAGAAACTTGATTAGAAAATAAATACCCTTTTTGGAAGCTATGTCTAGGACCTACTGGTGTGTTTGCTTCTTTTTAGGGTTGGGATGAAGAGAGGAGGTATTGGTGTGTAATTTCTGAATAGCTTTCCCTGATATGAAATTTAATTGTTTTCTGCATGTCGTGAAAAAAAATATCGTCTAATTCATGTTTAGTATTCAAGGTGCTAACCATCAAAATAACTATGAGGCTTGCTTACTGTAGCAGAAGTTTAACCTTTATCTTAAGTTTTTGGTACCATTGTGAGAAGGATGAGACAAAGCAGGATCTATTGGTTGGCTGTACGCTTGGTTGCTTGTGGGTCCTAGTATTGACATATCATACTTTACATGGTAGGCAACAAAGAGTGGTGGTAATAGATATTTCATTTACTTGTGCCATATGTTCTCCATATACAAAATCTTTCATTTGCTGTTTCATCACATGCATTGCTTGGTAATCTACTAATTGCTTAGGCACTCGGTCAGTGGCTTCTACAGTTTATTTGGAGGAAGTATATTTAGAAGTTTTGGTCATCATTTCAACAAAACAATAGCTAACTTCAAGATTTATCTACTGAATGAGACACCAAACTAAAATTGAATGTGGATAAGTATGTTTCTGGAATGCATATGCCTTGTGCTTTTTAGACTGTTTCATTTTCTTTATATAATAGCGTAGTAGACCTACATTCAATGTCTTCATATATTTTTCTTTCTTGTACTTTCCTTCTCTTCCTCCAAAAATTTTAGTTCACGTAACTTGTATTTGAGTGTACAATGTTTTGTCTTTTGAATTCTGCAAAATTTGTGCCAGTTTGGGTTTAAAAACCCGTCTCATGTTAATAAGATGAATAAACTCCTACTTCTTTGTATACATCCTTTTGGTGGTGTTAGGATTTGGCCATAATGGCATGCTTTAGCTACTACATGTTCTGCTTCTTTCGTAAATATGCACTACCTTCATGTTCCTACTTGATGCTTTGCCAAATTGGTGTACAACCTGTCAATAAAAGCAGTAATATCTTGTTATTGTTAATTTCCCCCCTATTTTTGTGTAGGACATGGAATCTATTGTTGAGACCATGATGCAGCAGCTTTTGTCTAAGGATATTCTTCATGAACCGATGAAGGAAATTGGAGAAAGATATCCAAAGTGGTTGAAAGAGCATGAAGCGAGTTTGAGTAAAGAAGAACATGAACGTTATTTTCACCAGTACGAACTCATAAAAGATCTTAATGAAGTCTACGAAAAGGATTCTGGAAACTTCACCCGGATTTTTGAGCTCATGCAGAAAATGCAAGAATGTGGCCAACCACCTAATGATATTGTGCAGGAGCTAGCTCCTGATTTTGACCTAGCTAGTCTTGGACAACTGTAAGTCTTCTACTGTGTTAATTATGAAAATCTGAATGGTTAGTTTGTCTGCAACTTTTAAAGCGCTCACGCATCTTAAGTTCGCTGATGATCACATTTGCCACTTTAATATTTTCTGTATATGAATACTGTTGTTCTTAGATGTTATTTATTTGGGAGGACAACTGCTGAGGGCATCTCATCAGGAAAATGGTCTATGAACCCATTTATGTTAAGTATTGGAGCTAAGGAATCAATTGTTCTTCAGTGTTATTCAGATTGAGAGTTTTATACTATCTATTAAAGGAAATTTATGTACCAAGTCTAGAAGGTAGGCTCTTCCTTAAAGCTGTGAGAACTTGAATCTGTACTACAGCAGAGACGCTGAGACTCCCATTTAAATAGAACATTCAGTTTGGAGCGACGATAATTTACGCTATTTATCACGTCAAAGTTGAACATGACTTGTGTTACCACAAGAAAATCAGATAGATTTCTTCTTGGCTGAGAAATACAAACTCAGTATAACATGCTTTCCCTGTGGCACCATCAATTTGCAGAAATCGCTTAGAACTTTGGTCAGCTCTATCAACTGACCCACGATGCTTTCCTTTGCAGGTCTCCAGAGATGCTAGAGTCTACAAATTGTTGTATAATGTGAGAGCAACCGTCTTTCCTCCGTGCTAATTTCATATCCCCATAGCTGTTATCCCCTGGGCGCACACAGATGTTTGTTTATCAAAATTTGTGAAAATAAATTGGTTATTGCCTGAATTGCATGCAGTTTTATTATTTCAGATTCTTATGATTGTTTTTGCTGCCCAGTTTCAGAGCAAGGTTTTGATACACGTAAAGCTTGTATAAAATTTGGGGGTTATATGGTAAGGAAAATTTCATAGATTTGTTTGTTGGCGAGCCAATGATCATTTGGTCTAGTAGCACGCAAACTCAAATCTTAATGAAAAAGCCCTGAACAAAACAGTATCATATTATTGAAGAAAAGGTACACAGTACAAAATGTCGGACACTTGTCAGGATTAGATGAGCAAATCTACACGCGTAAGAGTTTGATTGTTGGACTATTTTAAGTAGCCTACCTTTTTCCCGCATAAAGCGATTAGAAGGAACAGCAACCCTTGATAGAGTATGTTGATGGAGTAGATATATTTTACAATAATTGAATTAAAGAATGAATTAAAGAATGGGATTTGGAACAAGTATGAGATGTTAGCAAAGGCTAAGCATCAGAGGGTGCAATCCAGTGCCTTCCATTGACGAAACTCTTGACCAGAAAGGGATGGGCCAATTCATAATCAAGCTCCGGTGCACATGACACCCCACGCAGGGCTTCTTCTCCTGGCCCCCAGCACTTGTAGACACCCAGAAACACACTCCTCCTGCAGTTGCCACCCAAAAAACAAAAACCCATTAAAAGTCAGGTTGGCCCACTTATTATTTCCAAATTTTAGTCACGAGTGACATGACATTAAAATATCTTACTTGTTAAAAATAAATTAAATTTTTACAAATTTATAAATAAACTCAATCTTAAACATGTATTTATAAAAAAATTCAAACACTATTTAAATATAGAAACACATCCAAAATCAACAATTGTATAATTTTTTGGTGTATTTATAAATGAGTTTTGAGTGTGTGTAATGATGGATTTTTGGTGTATTTATAAAATATTTTGAGTGTTGGGTTTTTTTATAATTTTAGCCCCTATTTTGGGTGTTTTAGTGAAACCCCCTTAAATTTTTTAATATGTTAGTTGAGATCCAAAAAATTTATGATATTTATTATATATTGGTCTAACGGTATTTCTCTTTTTGAATTCCTATCTTTTTTTACATGAATTTCTCATTTCATGTGAGGAAATTAGTATATAAAAAGAGTAGAAGAAAAAGTTGGGTTTTTAATTATCTCGAGACAAGAAATCTTTATGTTTTTAATTATCTCGAGACAAGAAATCTTTGAAATATTTTGCTTTTCCATCACTTTTTTTAAAGCTTTCTATGGCCTTGACTCCGGTTTGATCCAATGACAATGATTAGGAGTTCAAACACCTATAATTCCACAAAATTAAAATGGGCCCCACAGACGTGTTTGTCAAAAGGGAAACAGAGAGGGTGGGCCCACTAAAGAATGATTAGAAGTAATCAAGTAATTAGAGCAAATGTTGGTAAGATTAGTTGACCGAAACAGTGTGTCTATATACTCCTTTGCATCCGAGTACATTATAAAAAGAACTCTTAACTCAAATAATTAAGGCACTCTTAATTTGAAGTTTGAATCTCCTCTTCCCAAAATCAGTTTATATGAAGGATTTAGAAAATTGCACTTGTCATAAAATAAAAAAAGTAATTAAAAGCTGAAGGTAGTTAATTACTTTGTTGTAGTGCTGGCGGTTGTGTTGCCCCAGTCATCCCAGGCACCATGAGCGACCACGTCATCAAAGTAGGTGTAGGAGTATACGATCCGGGAGTACTTGCCCATGGCCCGACCCACATACAAAGGACCCGTACCCGTAACTCGGCAGTTCACGAAAGCGAAGCCTGATTTATCATCCGCTGAGTTTCTGTAGTGGGCCGCAATTGACCCGAACTTGGTTGCTATCGAGTGCAGCTCACAGTCCTGTGCCAACCAGAACCAGCCAATAGTAGATCAGTCAAAAAGTCAAACCACTCATTGCAAACGAAACGTCACCGTAAAGCACTAACAATAATGACCCCGGAAAAAAAAAAAAAAAATTGTTATTTAGAGGGGGGGGGGGGGGGGGGGGGGGGGGGAGGGTAAATTTTTTGTTTTGATAAGACCATTTGTCTAAATTTCTTGAGGCACTAAGAATTACATTATTAGGGTTTTGTAAGAACAATTTAATCGCTAAGAATTACACTCGCCACATACCTAAGTTTGCTTTAAAAATTAAAATACGAGTAATGTTATCGTTAATCTTTTATTTACAGATAGATCGATAAATCAATAAACGATTCACAGTTGTTGAATACAAATGCCTCGTATATGCAAATAGCATTTTTCCCACCAACAGATAAAACTGGTGAAGGGAAAAAGCTTCCTCACTTTTCTTGACTTTATGTGCACTAAAGTGACATCACTCTGTCACAAAGATGCAGCAGAAAAAAGGCAAGCATCCTTTTCTTTTTCAAAATGGAAGAGTCACGGGTGTTCATAGACAAAAGCACTAAATTTTTTGCTTAGAGCTCAACAAGACAATGGCAATTTAGACAAAAATAGTTATAGCATGCAAAATACATGTTAAAATTGATGCTAATTAAACAAAATTAAATCAACATTAATATTATTTAGGTAGTTACTTACTTTGTACATGGACCGACCATTCCCAAAGACGAAGTCTATGGAACCCTCGATGTAACAATCCTTGAAGTAATGGCGCCCCACATCGTCACAAAGTGTGTCTTGGGCACCATAGAAGCCACACCCTGAGAAGTATGCCTTGTCACCTGATATCCTAAACGCTACCGCTTGCCACCCTTGCATCCCCGGCATCGGGGCCGGCGCCGTATTCTGTGATAATAAATAAATAAATCCATATAATGCTCATTCATGCATGCAAAAATCCAACTATATTTATATGGTTAGCTCTAATAAACACACATTAGTTGTAATATATCGTGAAAAACGTGATTTCTCTAGCATTACTCGTAATGTACCTTGAAGCTAATGTTTCTTGCGGAGAAATAGTTGGCGAAAACAGTAACAGAAGCTGTCCTGTAAGTCCTCAGCTGCTGGCCGTTGGGCCCAGGGTCACTGGCTCGGTCATGCCATTCGATCACGGTCACATCTTTCCCAGCTCCTTGAAACGTGATGTACGGCTTTGTCGCCGGCACAACCACTTTTTCTCTGCATACCCATTATCGATATCATATTTATCTCCGCAGTAATTAATATTACAATTTTTTTGACGATATGAATTATAGAGTCTGTTACTATTTGTACCATGTTTATTGATTACATTGTTGACTAGTGACAATAATGATTAATAATCACCTGTAGTATCCGGGGCTGATTAGGATGAGAACATTGACCGTGTTGTTTGCCGGTACAGCATTGACGGCGGCTTGGACGGACAGGAAATCCCCGGAGCCGTTTATGTCGACAGCGATCTGGCGGTGACCAGTGGGCCCCACCCACTTGTGGTGGTTCTTGGTAGGGTTTGATGTTGAACCATTGTTGTTAGTAGTGTGGACTAGCATTACGCGAGAGCTTCTCACCGCTGTCACCGCTGGAGCTGCATGAAACAACCAGAAGGAAAACACAGTGAGTGTGGTGCACACCAAGAAGAAGGAAGAAGAAGATGATGATGAAGACAAAAGAGCAGAAGCCATTAATTGTTTGAATTAATTAAAACAGCATTAAATTTAATAATAATAATAACGAAAATGGTGGATAGATAGATTGCTCCCTCTCTCTCTGAGGTTATGAGATTCGATTGCAAGAGCCAAGAGCTATCGAAGAGATATCAAGGAACATGTATATGATGGAATGCAAGTACTATATATATATATGGAAACAAATTTCAGTCCTTTCCAACGGTCATTTTTTTTTTGGGGCTTCCCTCGCTTGGGTTGGTCTCGTTATGCTACGAATTGGCCTTTGGATAAGTAAGTGGGGTCAAATATGTTTTTGGCTTAATTTGCATGCACAACTCAGCAGTGATGAGAGAGATAAAGATACATCCTAATTATATGTACTCTAAAAGTCTTCCCACCTCGGAATCTACCTCACTGTGCGAATGATTTCGGTGATTTTAGTGGTTTAATTAAATATATCATACATTTACATAGATTTGAGAAAATCCAAAACGAAGCGCTTTCTGAAGAAACACTTATTTAAGAAGTATATTTTCAAGTAATTTTTCAGGAAGTTAGAAACTTTTACGTTCTTATAAGAAAACTGCTTCTAATTAACAAAAGGGTTTATGATCGGAAGCATGTCCGATAAAAAAAAGAGTCCGAAACGACAATGGAGGAGTCTTACGTGATGGGTTACTCTAATTAAGTTGCAATTAATTTTTGTTTAAGCTGATCCAATGCAGTGGTATGGGTAACAATTGTTTTCAATAATGAAGATTAGGGAAAGTGCATAGGCAGATTAATTAACTGATCATGACTTCACTTTTGTAATGATAGAATGATTATCTTCTCCCGACAAACTTAAAATAACAATGCACACACTGTCGCTGTAGATTATGGCGTGCAATTGTTGGATTAATTATTTATTTATTGCATAATTACATAGGGCAAAATTCTTGTTTACCAAACTGGCAAATGTCTGGTAATAATTTATTTATTTATTTATTTTTGCTAGGGTTCAAGAATTTAAGAGCACCCAAAAATGGTCCCCAGCTGGAGGAAACCTGGCCATGTGAAGTTGTGAAGTTTATTTGACTTAAAGTTGAGACAAAAAAGAAAGAATTTATTGACTTTAATGTATTTATTTATTTAATTTTTTAGTACCATTATTATTCTTCTAATACTTGCTTCCTTCAAACGGTCATCTTTATCTTCTTTGTCCAACATCCTGTGGTGCTGGTGTTGTTGGTTGGGGCAGCGGTGGTGGTGGTGGTGGTGCGGATGACAAAATGATGGCCCAGGGCATGGTTAAATACCATTTTGTATTGTAGCTCTAACATTCATGAATTTTTGGACCATGTTGGGCCCTACCCTTTCGAAAACCAAATTTTTTGAATGTTGGAGCCTGTACCCAACCCCAGTTCCTCAGTCTGGACATGGAGCCAAATTAACCGAAACCCCATACACCGATTGCCTTTGTCAGACGAAATAGCCATGATAATTTGGACTGAGTTATTATGCAAGAGTGTTGTTATTTTCACCCGTAGTTCTATTTCATTCTCAGTTTTGTATTTCACTGAGTTATTATATAATATGTGGATGAATAGTTCGAGAGCAAATGTGCACGTAAATGATTTCTAACAATGACTAATGATATGTAATACATGAATTTTGTGCACGAGCAATTTCAAACATTTAGTGTATGTAGTGTTCACTTCTCAATGATAATCAGAAATTGTCGTTCGAAAAAGGACAATTTGACCGGGGGAGACATGCAAAGAAAGATTCAAGCGATTTTTCTTTGGTAAGTTCTTGTGGGTTTACAGTCCTTGGCATTTGCATCATCTTTGAACAAGGAGTAGGCCACAAAATTACAATAATATAGCTGAACAGGGGAATCCAAACCCATGTCAACAAACTTTGCCTCTCTATTTCTTGTTACCAATACTATGTAACTTTTTTTTATTTTTTTTGGTACTCCTTGAAACCACCAAGTGATACCCTTTATTGTTATACATTTTAAATCCAACTGATTTTTTTCTGTGCATTTTAATTTATAGTCCACCAGAATGTATATAATCAATGACAAGATTGGGACCCATGAAGCCAATGGCAAAGGAATACGTAGGTATCATCATCTTACTTGTTAATCATGGGCAAGAAAACAATAAAAGATATGCAAACACACACTAATATCTATTTATGGTGTATTTAAATAAATTTAGCCTAATAACGTATTTGTGGTGTATAAATATAAGAGCACTTTCAGCGGCTCACTTTTGTCAGGGCAAAAAGAAATTCAGGCTAGGCCTATCAATGAAAGGTAGCCTGGGCAAAAATGGGCTTCATTTATCTATGCAAGCCCAAAGGCAAGAATTGCCTAAGTCATATGAGCTTGTTGATCTTATGCTCACGTCACATTGGTGACATCATCAACCAATTTAAATATATATAAAAACCAAAAAATTCAGAATTTTTTTTTCTATAAATACCTAGCCATATTATACACTTCCCACACCAAAACTCTATACAAATTTCTTTTCTCATATCTCATGTCAAATTCCTTTTTATAGAGTCCTGCATCAAGGGAGCTTAATAGTAATTTATACCTTAACTATCATTGATAATAGCACCAAGGCCTTTAAGATAAAACCCACCTATAATAATGGTCTATTGGACTTGACCATCTATTCGATTTAGGTGGTTAAGTTGGAGACAATATCGGTGCTAGAGGGTGGGTATATGCAGTTGTTCGGTATATAAGGCCCTCACGAAGGTAACTGTTGTTATTGCTTATGATACTCTTCCAAAGCCCAGCATCTGCCAAAATTTACATTTAGAGAGGGTGAGAAGTTTGGGCTCAAAGCCGGACTACCTCCCCGATCCATAAAAGCCACGGCCCATATGCTACCCATATAACATTATATTTTATAGTTCAGGCAGCCCATCAATCCTGTCGTCTGTTTCTTCGTCTCTCTCTCTCTCTCTCTCCTCTCCAGCCTCCCTCGTATAAACCCTAGTCACCTCTCGGTCAGGTCTGAGCATCTGTACTTTTAAGTTGTTTATTAACCTTCCTTGATCTATGATTTTGTTTATTCCTTTTTTCACATTGCCATTGGTACTATTTTATGCATAAATTTCATGCAAATATAGTTGGTTTTAGAGAATGTCATATGCATTCTTTATGAAGTTTTGATTTTTTTTGCTTATTATTGTCAAATAAGCATCATCTAAAAATCAGGAGACGCGGATCCTTATACCTAGTCTCATGTCTGCTTTTATATGGTGCTGAGTCTATAATGTGGTGTCCTCTCTCTCTCTCTCTCTCTCTCTCTCTCTCTCTCTCTCTGTGTTTATATATTAGATGACTTCATATTGCCTCTAATGATGATGATTGAAAAATAACTTTCGTTCTTCCGAGATGCACCATGCGGAAAAATTTGGAGACCTGAACTGAAGAGGCTTGTTTTTGTGTTTACAGCATACATGTACTATATACTTTGTCTATAATTGAAAATATTTTATCTTTTTTGGTGGGTTTAAGTTTTTTTTTGCTTGTTATTTTCAAGTAAGAATCAACTAACAATCAGGGGATGTAGCTCTTTTTAAATTATAACAAGTTTCATATCTGCTCATGGATGGTGCTAAATCTATCCATCTTGGGCTAGCAGTGTCCTGTTCTTTGTCTCTCTGCTTTATCATTTGTATATTAAATGACTTTATTTTGCCTCTGATGATGATCAATAAATAACTTTCGTTCTTCCGAGATGCTCCATGCGGAAAAAATTTGGAGACCTGAACTGAAGAGGATTTTTTTTTGGCTGTTGTTGTGTATTTACACTATATATATGTATATACAATTATGTCTTTGAATACATACTGTACTTGAACATATTTCGTGTCCTTTTTGCGTATGTTGTTTAGACTATTAAGGTTCTTTAGAGGTATTTTATATTTTTAATGGAATATTCGATATTTTTAATTAACAACTTCAAAAGTAGTGTAGTTAAACTGATCGGGTGTCAATTTGGTTTGTTAAAGTTTTAGCATGGGGTCACAAGCTTGTGTCCACCATTTGTTACTTTGAGTGTTAGGGTTCGATTGACAAATAATATCCAGTAAAGTTCACAGTGAAGAGTTCTCTTCTCATTAGTGCAAGGTAGATTACTTTATAGACTTTTTTGCAATAGTATTTGCTACATTGAAATTATTGTCTTACACCCTCATAGTCAGACTTCAACTTTTGGAAACCTGAATTTGTGGACTTAACCTTTATATCGACAGCAGCAAGTTGCATAAAAGATCTTCTTTTGCTTCTAATGATATTTCTGATGAAACTTTCATTTTCCTGAGCTTCTTAGTGCTGAAAATCTGGATATCCGAGCTGATTAGTCTGTTCTTATAATGAGTATCAAAGATCATACTCACTGAGGTAATCCTTTGTCACACTTTTATAGTTCTTTGTGTTCATCAAGGCTTTACATGTCGAGGGCAATAATTCTAATTCAAAATGGTTCTCATCAAAACAGGAAGCTCCTTGACCATGTGAGAGCACTTGATAGACATTGCAACATGGTTCTCGAAAAATGGCAGGGAGATGTGGACTGAGGTATTTTCTGTCATTGTTTTTTATTTTTATTATTTATATTTCATGTCTTCATCAAGGCTACATCTGTAGTCGTTGATCTATGCAGGTAGCAAAAACTGGAAAAGGCAAGAAAAAGGCTCAACCAGTTAACAAAGATAGATTCATTAGTAAGATGTATGGTGGCATTGGCCGCTATGAAGATATGCAGAAATCGATGCTTAAAATCGTAGTGCTTGGTTGGGAATTTAACCACCCTTTTTAGAACAACTTTCCGGTGGTATACTTTGTACATCCCCTCTGACCAAAAAAAACAAAGTCAGTTTGAATTGGAATGGCCGCTTTTGCGGCTCTATTCTATCAGAAGGATTAGTTTTGAGACAATTTAAGCACTGTTGTTGTGATTTCCTCTCCGTGTAATTATTGTATCGTGTTCTGTCTGTTTTTTTTCTTGGGTGGTAATCTTTCATTTGGGACCTCACCTAGCATTTTGTGGAAGAGAAGTACCACTAACACCGATAGCTAGAATGGTAAGTAATACGGGACTTGGGCATTTGATACATTTCATTGTTGGCTATTTCACCCAATAGTATGGTGGGCGAAAGGATCCGGATCATCTACTGGTATTTTCTTTGAGTGAACTTGCTTCGGTTTTAATTGTAGCCGCATCAATCTTATCTCGTCGCCAAAATATGCCTCTCAATCCTTCTTCTCTTTTTATCGCATATGGCTTCTTCAACTTTGCTTTATTCCAAACAATTTCACTGTTAACAATAGGTCATCACATAGAAAGGAGACATCTCTGACTCCTTGGCGGGAAACCTTGTAAAAACAATAAGAAAACAAACAAAAGATTTCCATATAGTAAGAGAATATTTGGGTGTCACCTTCCACAGGCAAAATTAGTAAACGTAATGTCATTGTTACACTCAACTGTCGGAGCCCAAACATGCAAGAAATCTGATAAAAGCGATCTTATATAATTACAGACAGTTTTCCATGCGAACAGGCATGTGCTACACCTGTTAGTTTTTAACAATGAAGTTTATGGTACAAAAACAATGGAAGCTCATGCAAAACCAAGCTTCCATCTGACCCTTTTCCCCTTTTTCCCCCTCCCCAAAAATTTGAAGAAAAAAGCACAGCCTCATTTCTGCCCGAATTTTGTCGAAGTAAACCGTCTCTCAGTCCTTGTCATCACTTCATCCTGGGGAGTTGGCAATGTGCTTTCAAAGTTCAAAGCTCAGACGTGGAGAGGACTCACCCAATTTTCGGAAAATAAGCTTCCCTTTCAACTGCGGCTTGAATAGATGACATGACCTTAACCACTGACAGCCAAGCGAATGGTGCAGCACAAAATGCGTAGGCAAATACAGAGAGAGCTCTTATAACACCATCTGGATACCAAGGAAATGCCATGACAAAGAGGACACCGAGAAATCCAAGCCACAGAGATAGAACTGGCAGCATTGGCAGCAACAGAGCATTGATTGCTATGAAGCAAAGTGCAAAAGTGCCAAGAAAGTACAAACCCCAGCCTAGCAGCGGATGAATCGTGTGAGGAACGAGCACGAAAGGTACAACGTACGCAGCTACAATCGACCACGCTGCTATCATCTTGAGGACGGTGTGTATTAAGGTAATGCTCTTGTCTGAGCGCCTGTAGCACAACTTGGATATATTTGGTCGTGCCATACGTGTCATTGCTATTATTCCCAGATAAATTAGCGACTGGATTAGCACCACTGGCATCTCTGCACCATACCTGTATCACAGAGGAAGACAGTTAGGTTTGCCAGCTTGAAAGGCGATCACAAAGAAAAATCCTAAGCATATATTTCACCACATTGACGGGCTACACAATGCGGCAGATGATGCGATCAGTTAATGCAGAAACGGTTTGTGGTCTTACCCAAGAGTTTGTTGGCGTTGCGCATGCCACGAAATGCCCAACGGCAGAACAGGCCATGACCACCAATACCATGGCTTCAACCATGGTGCACCGGGGAAGGTGATCACGCTGTTGGGTCCACAGGGTACACTCCAATGCAATCTGAGATCTATAACAAGCAAAAGTAGAGGGTGGCTAAGATATAATCTTTGGTTTCCCTATAGGATAAAAATTAGAAATGCTTATTGTTTCACTTACAATAATAAGAAGCATCCATTTGATAGCCCAAAGGTAGTCTGTAGGTTCCATTAAGTTTGGAGCCATTAGGAGGTGCACGGAACAAGGGCTGATCAAGCAAGTCCGGGAAGTAACCGCCTATAAAACCCTGGTCTGCACCATCTGGATTATCTCTTCCAATTTTCAACTCATGAAGCATGTCCTTGAATACTTCCATTGATGGCTGCAAATATCATGAACAAATGAAGCCCAAAGTGGTTCCTTTTCAGGTAAAAATTCAACCATAAAGTTTTCTTGGATGAATGCCTTAACATTGACTCTAGTTTAAAATCTTAGAAGGAAAATCAGCAAGGAACCAAAGGATTAATATTACCTTTCTATAAAACCCAATTATTTCTTAAGATATAAGGCAGATTATGATTTTGAAAAAATTGAACATCATTCTTTCGTCTTCAAATAATAGCATCTAGCCGTCTTACTGTGAGTGTTCTTCTGTGTTAGTTAATTCTACTCAAATCATAACATAAAATCTTGATAATCTCATTCAAGAGTTCAATGTGAAACTTTGAAATAAGAAGTCAAAACTAAATGGCTTAAAATGGTTTCATAAACATTTCAAACATTTATGCTTGAAGGTTTAGGGTTTACCTGCAACACAAAGAGGCCAGTATGGAAGATGCAAGGGTTGATGAAAGCTGCACAGAATTGTCCACATTGGAATAGTTCATCAGCATTTCGGAGGAAGAGGTTGTCAGCATCAAGCATGACCACCCTGTCATAGTCCACTAGGCTCCACGCATAGAGTTTGTTGAGTGTTAACTTGAATCTTTTGTCAAAATTGTTCTGGTTACTATATGGATTATTCAAATTTTCCACTCTCACCACCTTGGCCCCATCTTCCTGTTCTCTGTCAAACAAAAACAAAAACTTGTGTTAATATATCAATATGCCAGTCATGATATCAAGTTCTTGTAAGTCAAATTAGTGGTGTCACAGTTCAGATCACCATATCAAACTAAGAGAGAGACAAATGTATTGGACTCTCCAACGTGACAGGTTGAGTTAACAGCACCACACCTTTACTTTAATACAAGTGATGGTATAAAATACAAGGAGAGAGGTTTCTCACACACACGCTATGCCATAGGGAGTTCGAACCTGAGATCCACTAGTATGCAAATTAAGGCCCTTTTCTCGTCGACTAACTCTGTCGACACAGGCATTGCACTATTAAAATCTATAATATGTTACAAAATCTTATTTTAAATAAAAAATGTATGAGATTTCCAACTTCTTCCTTTTTTTTTCTAGCTTGTAGGACCCAAGGCCTTGGCTCAGTGTGAGAATGGGCTTGATCCTCCTAGGATGTCAAGTTGTGATGATGTAAACAAAGGAAAGGGGGATCAGACAAATCATAGATTGCCATCCATGACTTTCTTGTCATCATTATCTAAGCAAGTCATGTGCAGGGCAGAAAATAAAAATAAACAACCCCTATTTTGATTTTTTTTTCCTTATATAGAATTATCTACATATAGAATCTAGATGATTAGAGAGCAATTAATATGGAAAAAAAATATGATAAGAACTTAGACATTAATGGAATTCAAGTAAGCACAAATTAAACAAATAAAATTATAAAACTAAATACGCGCAAATTAAACATGTAATCGAGTTTTTTTGACTTTTATCAATGATTCCGGAATCTTTGCCGACTCTCCTCTTATTTTCTTCTTAAAGACTAACCATGAAGAGAAAAAGAGGCAAATGTTGAAAACACGACCACCTAAGACCAACGGACGAGGTTCACCAAAACCAACGGTGCCATGTCTTTGGATTCCATCCACTGATTTCGACCCCCCCGCCAATCAAACCACGCCACGTCACGCAAATGGGAAGCAACGCCCAACAAGATATAACTGGCCAGTCTACCCATTAAGACCCTTAGGTAAATGCATTGCTGTTGCGCTGTGACTCGAAAAGGCACCCCCCACGCATTCTTATCCGAAAAAGGAAAAAAAAAATCAAGAGGGCATATTCTAAGCTGCATCTAAGACCACCCAAAATAGACGGTCCCGATCCATCCGTAAAAATAAAAATAAAAAGCCGTTGACCATTTTGACCAACTACCAACAACGACCGACCTAATTGGCTCAATTTTTAGTTGACTAACCCTTCGCTACTTGGTAGCTCTACACAGCGTAACGTGCGCCAAAACCCCATGTTTTTTCTAACGTGCGCCGGGACGGCCCTGCGTGCACGTTACGGCCAAAAAGGAAAAACGAAACGGAGGAAAAAGACAAATAAGCGAAAGAGGACTTACAGAGTCTGAACCCAACGGAGGGGGACGTCCGGGGAGGCAATGACGACGAGATCGGCGGCAACGTGGAGCCTGGAGAGCGATCTGATCATGACACGTGTCGCAACGTAGAACTCGTAGTCCCTGGGCGTCCCCATGTACATCATCGTCGCGTACGCATTTCTGTAGTACTGCCGCGGCCGCCGCTGCTGCTGCTTCAGCTGGTGGTTCTCGCTGAACGCCGTCGTTTCGAGAACAAGAAGAAGGAGCGGTAGCAGGAGGATTTTAGAAATTCCAATGCTGCCCTTGGCCATTGAGCTCGCTCTCCCTGTCTCTCTCTCTCTCTCTAAGCCTCGATCACCATTGCAAGTGAAGGACTTTATTTAATACCGAAGACGGACAGAGAGAGACAAAGAGAAAGAGAGAGTTTTAAATATTTCTCGATAGGTAGGAAACAACGAGGGAAGGCTTTTTTATAGAGAGGCTCTTTGCGAGATCTGGGCTGTTCAGTCTCCGCATCCAACGGTCCAGAATCAGGCCGTATTATTATATTGCAAAGGGAATAATTTAACGCTTATCGGTTTGGGGTCTGGGGGCAAACTAGGCCGGTGAAGTAGTACGGCTCGCTCTTACTACGTCGTTTTTGTTATTTAATAGTGGGCTCACCTTTTTTCGGAAACGCTAGCAATGAGGATCTGCCACGTGGTGTTGGACACGGATTTTAGAGGGGAAAAATCCCATCTCCTTCTTGCGTCCAAAGCAGCCTTATGTCAAAGCAGATCTTATGAAGGAAATTTCATACATTTCATTGTTATATAATGCGATTTATTATGTGGTCTTTCTTGTACAGAAATTCTGAGGAGTGACCGCCACTTCAAACAATTACTCCATCATAAGTTTGAAAAATCTAAACCTTGTTATTTGGTGTGCAAAATATTGATAATCTTTTTTTATTTACAATTAATAAAAGTTCGT